AGAGCCGGAACTGGAGCTCAGGGAGGCTGACTTGAAGGCAGGTGCTTAATCCCTGTGCAGCCGGTGCTGACTCCCAAAAGGCTGGTTGATGGATTACTTTTGTGTTACAAATCCTCTCGTTAAGAAATATAAATAAATCTATTAACAAAAGAACAAAAGAGAGAGAGGGAAGAAACCAAAAGAGTTTTCATGAATGGTGTAATTCAGAAAAGCTCCCAATAAAGGCCAGGAGTCAGTTTACCCTGATAGATAATGACTGTTTAAAAAGAACAACGACCCTAGCTGGTTTGGCTCAGTGGATACAGCATTGGCTTGTGGACTGAAGGGTCCTGGGTTCGATTCCAGTCAAGGGCTCATGCCCAGGTTTCGGGCTTGAACCCCAGTAGAGGGCGTGCAGGAAGCAGCTGATCAATGATTCTCTCTCATCATTGATGTTTCTAACTCTCTCTTCCTCTCTGCAATCAATAAAACTATGCTTAAAAAAACAACAACAAAGAAACAGCTTATCATTGTCAAAACAGAAACCATTATCTTTTGTGTTCAGCTTTCAAAAACCCAGCTGTCACTACTAAACAATTCCATATTTCTAGGCAGCCACATCTTGAAGGGAGTCACCATTGACATAGGTACCACATGAATGGCACCTCGTAGAGTTGAGCAGTGCCCTCCTGTCTCATTTCTGTCGCCCAACAAGGCTGTTTGTAGCCTATTCAGAACCTGTGTGCAAGTTAGAGAGAAGTGCCCCCTGCTGCAGGATGGTGCGGCCGACGCCAGTGCCCGCCTTCAGCGGGCGTCCTTGTGCAGGGCACTGCACAGTGGTACCTGGTGGCCTGTTCCCGAGGACATGTTTTGCAGCCCTTGGCCCTGGTGGTTAAGCCACGAGCCTGTGCTCTCAGGAGCATTTCTGAGATTTGCTCTGTCATGGGAGCTGGTTCACCTGGATATGGCGTCATTCCACTGTCGTCCCACACTGTTGTCTCTGGTGTGGAGCGCTGGCCAGACTGGCTGCCATGCCATTCCAGTATCACAAGTCTGGTATGTTTGACTTTCTTCTCAGATCGGAAAGCCTGCCAGCTGTGGTTGTCAACGCCTGTCAGCAACAGAGTAAGCCAGGTCTCGGCCTGCACCGCATGTCTGTTCTCTAGCTTGCTTCAAAGTCAAGCTACGAGAACGTTCAGCAGATAAAGAAGGAACTTTACCAGATATACGATCCATCTCCTCTCTTTTAGCTTTAACTGAGCTTTATCTGTCGGCAGCCACACGTCTGGACTTACTCAGCCATGGCCATCAGAATCACTCAGTTACCGTTTGGTATCATGACCTTGGCATTCATATTGAGCAGTGTTGAGAAATCTTATAAAAATGCATAATTTCTGCATTTGCTGAAAATTATTGAGATTATTATCTATTATATTGTTCAGTTGCCTTGTGTTCAGGTCTCAAATGAGAAACTTTCTTTGGGATTTAGCTTTTTGGGTGCAAAAAGCTTATTAACTTATTCATTTGATAAGAAAAACCAGGAAACCCTGGTGTGCCATCACCATAATTATACTAGCACTGTGGTTAGGTGTTGGCTTTCTGTGACCTTGATTTTTCCCCTTTTTTTAGAAAACAATATCACATGTATGTCCTTTACTGTAAATTATCCACAGTCCATCCCACCCAGTTTTACGGAGAGGGAGGCAGCTGACATATTAAAAAAAACGGATGAAATGAACTG